CCCCCACTCTCTGGGTGTGACCCCCAAGCCAATTTGCCACCCACCTGACCATGTAATCATCTACATCACAGCATGTCAGTTTATTTACGAGAACAGAATGAGATACCGTATCGAAGGCCTTCTTAAAGTCGAGGTAGATGACATCTACCTCAGCTCCTGCACCTAAGCATTTTGTGACCTGGTCATAAAAAGAAACAAGGTTAGTCAGGCAGGATCTACCTGCAGTGAATCCGTGCTGATTTCCTTTCAGCATTGTTTCCCCTGCTGGGCTCCCACAAATGTGATCCTTAATGATTTTTTCCAGAGTCTTCCCAAGAACAGAGGTGAGACCAACTGGCTTACAGTTTCCCAATTCCTTCCTCCTCCCCTTCTTGAAAATAGGGACCACACTGGCCCTTTTCCAGTCCTCTAGTGCTCAAATTGTTTAGTTAGTAGTTTTAAATACAACTCCAAAACACTGAGGGCTCCTGAAACCCCAGTGTACCAAACAGCATGTCCTGGAGCTTCGACAAGATCTTATTCAGTTTGCATAAGTGGACTCAGAGCCCTAAAGATGATGCTATTCCACCTGATCAAGTCCCTTAACAGCCGTTAATATAAAAGATAGCACTTTTGATAGCAAACAAATGCACTAATGGATTTTCAGAAACAAACTTAGACTCCTAGTAGGTGGAACAAGATCTGGCCCTTAAATTGTAGGCCTGGTAGGGCCCTGAAGGCATGTTCTGTGCTTAAAATATGCAGTCTAAACCTCACAAGTGTTAAGAAGAGTTTCAATTCACTTATCCAGTATTTACCATACTAACCAGTTTCCTGATGGTACAAATGCAAACACTCAAATTACCTTGAGTTCACAGAATGATAGTTTAATATCCAGGACTAACTACAGCCACAGCTATTGACTTCTTCCCCTCTGCTCTGCCTTCATCCTCATAGTATAACAGGCATGAATAAGCATTTGTAAAATGACCTTTTAATTTAGGAAACAAATCATGTTATACACAAGTCCATACGACCACCAACACTTTCAGTTATTCTTTGAATTTTGCTTCAAAATTTTATTTTAAATTCTCTATACACATAGTTTAATAGGCCTATTCTATTTACAGCTTAATAACACAAGCAGGTCAGGAAACAATCCTTTTGCTGCCAAGACTCCTGACACTCAGCTGCAGTGCATACAAGGCCCTAGGCATTATCAATTTGGAGGGGTAAGTTAAAAAGCACCTATTCCAAGCTGGATGCACCTTCCACATGAAAGTGTAGTGACAGAAGAAAAACAGCAACTTCCCTCATTCCTGAACCAGAAAGAAATTAAACCTGTGTGCATAGGGAGGGGCTCCCACAGCAACACGTACCAGCTGTTAAGTTTCTCCCTCTCTAAAAGCCAAGATGCTGGCTATTTCAGACCAATGTGCAGAAAATAAGTTTCAAAAGTGTGGGGGGGGCTTAATGAGAACATATTCCAGGCAGTACCTTTCTTCAGTACAATTATGAACTCCTCCAGCACCTTTGCTGACCTGCAACTGTCCTGGTTCTAGATAGGAGAGAGAGGCAGCTCTTCAAACAGGTAGGCCCCACAAAAATGGCGCTTCACAGATACTGAAGTTCGATAGACAGATCTAACCTAAATCACTTAAGTCTGATACCACATTGATCCAGGTCTATTTTAGGCTAGGTTCCACCATTTTTAAACCAGTCAGTTAAGGTGCAGAGGAGTTAACTGGCACTTCGGTGCTTACTTTGGACTGGGGAGACACTAATGCATAGCAATTAAACTTGGCCCTAGGAAACCAAGAGAGTGCCTAGAAGAACAACTTTTTTATTTATTAGTGAGGTAAGGGCTTCATCACTCCCTGAAAAAAAGGGTTGAGGATGGGGGAAGGGGGAGGAAGAGAGCAGGTACACCTATGAAGGCAGCATGGATGGGAGTACAAGGTATCCCACTGGGGCTTACAACCAAACTGTCCTTATGAAGAGAACACTTACTCTGTGAACTGAAACAGAGATACTAAAAACAAAAGATAGTATTGGGAAGAAGGAAAGGAGTATAGAACAACCCTAGACCTCGTGGAAGACTCTGAAGACATTCTGGAGGCATGAGGAAACAGGCAGGACCATGTTCTAAGAGTAAAGTATATGCCTGGATAAAGTCAGACTAACTTGCTTAAACAGTCAGGTAGTCCCTCTGGACAGAAGCAGTAAACCAGATTGTCCACAATTTTAATGGAGTATACAATGGCAACTAAAGAGGGCCTGTCAAGTTGGCACTTGTATCAATACCTATGCAGTCTGACTGGAGTCTACACTCCCAAAAGGTGTCTTCAGACATGGGTTCTGCACCTATCATGTGCTCATATCAGCCCAGACCTAAAGACAGTGCGCCTAAGTCAAGTTACACAAAACCAAGGACCAATTCAAGTAGAGCAGAAAAGGTACAACCGTGACAATAGTGAATATCCAATAGGGGGTTACTTGACCCCAGCAGTCTTTCCTGCCCAGAGCAGGGGGGCTGGATCTGACTCTCTCATGTGGTCCCTTCCAGCCCTAAACTTCTGTGAATGTGTGAAAGACTTCTTTTGGACTGTAAAAGATCACAGCTAATACCTTACATTTCAGAGATAAGAAAATAGTTAATGCAGACCCTGGACCACTGTTTTAAGTAATATGCAATCTGCTTATAATGCCAGCTCCTGCATTCTGCACGTGCCTCAGTTTTAAGGCACCACCTAGCCTAACCTGGAAATGACAATTGAGAGGATTATGATAGCAAACTTAGCATCAGAAAGTAAATGTCATAACTGTCAGGTTAGGTATGATGAAAAAGTCTTCATAAACATGGTTGCAATACGAGTATCAAAAAGCAGTTTTAGATTAATCAAGAGGGAGAGTTTGAGAATTCAGAGATTAATTGTGGACAGAGGTTCACATTAAAAAGTGAATGCTCATTTTTGAGCTATGGAGCAAATACTTTGCAGAGGCTAGAGAAAACACCTGTTGTACCCTCTAATGTAGAACTAAGAAAATCAGCAGCACTTTAGAATCTGGCATATCAAGAGAGTTAACTTCGAAAATGAAAGAGAAAAAAAGAAGTACATTAAGTGAAGCCTGCTCTGCTGTGACATAATTGCACGTCCTCCTCAGGAACAGGGAGTGTTGTATGAAGAGTTTCAATGAAACTTAAAAGTACAATCATCCCCTACACCTTTCTCCTGATATCTTTAAACAGCAGGAATGAAATGCAGCACAGGTGCACACACACAGCCAAACTGGATCCAGAAGACGGAGCCAGGGGTGGGGATGAGGGGGCGTGGACAATGGACGGACACTGTGGGAGATCCTTCTTCCAGGCTCTAAAACTTCAAAAATGTAAAAGTTGTCTAGGTACACAAACCAAATATAAAGTAGAAAATAATCTTTAAAGGTTTTTCCTAGCTTCTGGGTCAATTCTTTCATATACACAATGAAGAAAAATAAGGCTTGTGCTCTTGTTTTTTCCTGTACAGGTCACCTTTACAATCAGAGGTAAAACAAAAAAAAATTAAGTTAGCATCACTGCAACAACATTAACTTTTGCATTTACTGGTTTTTAAAGTACAAAAACAGAGTACTGTACTGATGGGGCGGGGGGAGGTGTTACATTTGAGCTTCTAAATAACATTACATACAAGCCTGATCTGCTGCAAAGAAAAATGTCTGTAAACCAAAGCAAAGTTGTAGAACAATATAGAACCATTCATACTAAAACAGAAAAACCTTATTTATTATGATTATAAAGGAACAAATAGCACATATATCCTCCAACCTAACACTGTTACAGGCTTCAGATGCACACAGCAAGGAAAGCAACTTTAAAATAACCTTGATGGTCTGACATAAGCCTCTGAGACTTTTCAAGCCACCCTTAACACCTCATCGCACTAAAGTGTTAAGGAAGTCTAAGAACATTGTTCTGTGATAGAAGAAAGGATGCACAGCTTAGCTTCTTAGTTTGGACCAAATAAATCAACCTCTCTGAATTCCCCAGTGTGCCATTTAACCCCAGATCTTGGCTAAAATTTAGTGCAAAAAAAACAAAACAAAACAAAAACCACACACCATAAAAGACTGTGATACCGAATTCCCCATCAAGTTTCAAATGGACATGAGATTCTTTTGCTTCTGCTCCTGGAAAGTGTTGCAAAATGTTTGTGTGCTGCTCTTAAAGGGCTTTCAATCTGGGGGTGGCTGCATGTCACTGCCTAGGGTGAAGCAATCATCTCTTTCATTATAACAAGAGCATCAAAACTAGCATGTGGAAGACTTCTAAATTGTTTCCATTTATATAGCCCTCTTTTCAGACTTAAAACCTGGTGAAACATCTAGTCTTTATGCCTGAAATGTCATAGGTCTGTTTTTTTGTTCAAAGTGAGCCTTATTTTCAAATTAGAAGTGAACTAGCCATTTTATAAAACCTAGGAAATGGAAAAAAAATTAAGTTTGCAGTTAAGCACAACGAAGCCAACTATTACAATGTTAACGTTACACAGGGAACCTTCACTTTGGCCCTTTGTGGTAAGGATTACAAAAAAGTCTAACTGACTAAATATATTATTTCTCAAAATATACTGTTGCCTTTGTGTCTAAAATAGTTAACACCTTGTTGTACGGTGTATAGCAAGCAACTCATCTGTAAATCAGTCATTAATAAATCTTGCTGTATATACATAGGTAGTCAGTTTATGGGAAAATTCAGTTTTTATAGTTTCAGGGAGTTTAAGACTAGCAGGGACCACTGGATCATCTACTTGTCCTCTTGTATAGCACTGGCCACTAAAATGTCATCCAGGTATCCTGTATCAAGCCAGAACACTTGAACCGGACCAGAGAATTTTAGCCCTCAGGAGACTGAACAGCATACCAGATAACTTGGTACCATCAATGTCAGAGGCCCTTGGAACAGCAATGAATTAATTAGTTGAGATAGTCCAAGAAGATCTGAGTCAATGATCCACAACCTCTGGGCTAAAGTCAAAATACTCCTGATGTCCTTCCACTAGTGGGGGGGAGGGAGATGGAGAAGGGGTGAATTCCTTCCTAACCACAGATCTACCTATCAATATGACTTTAAAACATGCCAGCAACAGGTCAGCTACACAATTAAGAAAAAGGACTTGTGGTAACATTTCAAATCATTGTCCCAAACCCATCTAGAATTCTGTTCCCTCCCCCTGCCCTGCCAGCCCTTCACCTACAACCAGCCTCTGATCCTACAGCAAAAAAAAGCACAAAAAATTGCCTGTCTAGATGGAGAGTTTCCAAACTGTTATATAAGGGTATGTTAATTTTCACTCGTTAAAGAACGTTTCACTACAGATTTTAAAAGTATATCCAATATTTAGAAAAAACCTATCTTCCACCTAAATAAGTCAGATGGCACAAACAAATTAGATACACCATAATGTAAGAGAGACCGTCAAAGAAAGTAATTAATGTACTGTTAATACAACTCTGGATGCATGTTTCTCCAAGAAGCAGCTTGTGAACATCTACACTAATAATTACACTTCAGCAATGCATCAATCTCCAAAGAGGAGAAAATATTGTTTTAAATATACAATAGATGGATGATGACAAAGTTATTAACATAATATACCTGGGGGAGAAGAGAACTTAAAAGAAAGCAGTCAAAGATGAACCAAACTATTCTGAAAATTACATTACCATGGATCCACAATGAAAATAATTACAAAGGTACTACACACTCAGATATCCAAAGCTGTAGGGAACAAAAAAAAGTTTCATATGGGTTTATTTAAGAGTATGCAATCATGTAATTAAAACCCAATCTCCATTTTCTGTACACATAAAAAAAGATATCATTTTGGAACCAAGAGTTCTAGATTTTTGCATTTCTTGAAGACTAGCTAGGCATTTAGTATTTTCTTTGGCGTCTTTTTCATTTGAATGCTTAGACCGTGAAACAACACTATGAAAAAAAATCAAAGAGACTGATTAAATATCCCCCCTTCCCCAAAAAAAGTGTTTTCGAATTCTGCAGAATTAATGCCAAATTACTGCAAGGTCAGTTACATTTCAAAATTAGATCCAAATGCAAAGCTGTTTAAATTATGGCACCGGAATAAAAAGACTAAAAATTACATTTATCAAGGCACTGAGAAGTCAATTTGTATGAGATTAACATCAGAACAGATACTTTGAAAAGTCTATCGCAATGTTGCCCAAAGCCCTACTCTCAGTCCAGTTTTAGTGTCCAGCCCAGTCAACAACTTCACCAGGATTAGTCACACATGAGTAAAGTCACATTAGGGATAAAGTTTCCAGAGGCACCTGACTTTCAAGAGGATTTAGATACCTAAATAACTTTAGCTTTTTAAAGTACATCAGCTAAAATCTTTCACTGGTAATGCTGATGGAAAACAGCCTGTCTACTACCCAATACCACCACCTGGAGCCTGGGACTGATCCCACTCCCCCCCAAACTCCCTGCCAGCCTGGGGCTGCTCCACCCCAACTTGAATTGCTGCAGTCCCAGGCAGAGCAGACCCTACAGAGGTGCAGGGCCCTGGGCAAATCAGCCTGTGAGTGGCCATGGCACCCTCTCAAAATGGGGGGCGCCTCTGTACTTCTGCAGCGTAGGGCTGAGCTGCCAGCTCCAGGCAGGCCCTAAAGGAGGGGGCACGGCCACTCCACCCAGCTCCCCAAGCCCCCCCCAAAGCTTGGGGCAATCGCCTCAATTTGTCATACCCTAAGGACAGTTCTGGTCCCAGGCACACATGAAGACACTGCGCCCGGGAATCAGCTGACTGGCACAAAGTGCGCCAGAGTTTATTCAGGCACTTTAAAGCACTTGTAGATGTGCCCAGGGAGAAGGTGTCCTGACTTTTAGGTAACTTCTTGTGTTGAGAAGGAAGAGAGCAGAGTAGCTAACAGGGTATGCAACAGGAAGGACCAAAGCTGGTCTCAAGATAGTATAAGAAAAGGAACAACTTTCTGTGGAGCCTAGACTAGTCTTGATTTCAACACCAGAAACTGGAGAAAACCTGCTGTGGCTCCGAGTCACAAAAAGGACACTATTAGGGAATAAATTTTCAAGAAATTCCTATGCCACTGAGAAAGGAACACATACCACATGTAAACAGTGTGACAGAGATGGAAGGCCTGGCAGTGCAAATAAAGCAACATTATGAAAAATTCTTCTCAGAAGGCAATGAACTTGATAATGGTGATGTAGCCAGGTCTGAGCCATCTGCATCAATTGGTTAGTAAATTTAATATTTGTGAACCATTCTTATGGATTGCCTGCTAGCAAATACATTTACAACAATAATGATTTTAGTTATTTTGCATTACATATGAACTTCATAATATTTCTGTTCAAAACCTAATGCATGTGCTAGTTTGTGGAAGTATTTGTCAAATTATACATTTTTAATATTACCCCTGAACTTTTGAAATTAGTTTTATTGCTCAGTGTAAGCAAATATACAAACCCCAGGTAGAGATAATCCTGTGCAGAATAAAATTTTAGTAGGAATTTATGAATTTTAAAATAGAAATTTAAATGTTCTTTCCTAAGCTGTTTTATATTAATAAAGAAAAAGGGTTTAAATAGAAGATATCCTTTATGATTTAGTGAACATTTTCCCTATAGAACTGGCTTGGAAAAATGATACTATTTAAACACTGGCTTGAAATAAGCCTGCTGTATGAGAGTTCTTTCATTTACAATCTCATTTTAAGTAATACTCAGGGTGAGTGACTCTCTAACCATTTTGTTTCAGGGTCCAGCTTAGATATATGACATTATGAACATCGATCATCTGCAATGTCTGCAACTTAGGAATCACCTGTTGGTACCACCATCAGACTTACAATTAAACATACCTCATTGCCTGTATCCAAAAGGAGACTTTCTTCATTATCAAAGTAAAATGTTGGATGAGTTCATAATCAAAACCAGCAAAGTCCAGCAAGACAACACAGATGAAAAGATTACTCAGTCTATGCAACAAATTATTTCTTTTGTCTTGTTCAGAACAAGTATTTCATTGACATGGACCAGGTTACACTTCGCCCAACAGAAAAGAAATTGCTGGAGGGCTTCTGGATACAGGGTATAAAAAGGAAATAGAAGTGTGCAAAAACACTGAAGGGAAAACGTGTTCATTTGAGTCTTGATGGATGGAGCAATGTACACAATGGTCCAGTAATATGTGCTTGGTGACAACAGAAGACAGGATTGTATCTCTCACAAAAACAATCAATACGCCCATACTGCAGAATATTTAAAAGTAGTAACAGTAAAAGCTATAACAAACTGTAAGCAAAAATTCAAGTGTCATGTGCATGGCCTGGTCACACAGATAGTGCTTCAAATATAACAAAGATAAGACGAAACTCAGAGAAGATAATGAAACAAACCTAAAACTTATCACTTAGAGATGCAGTGCTCATTTGATTAATCTTTTAGCCAAAGATTTAAGTACTCCAGAAATAAAGGAAAATGTTGTTGAAACTACAAAATACTTCTGTAACAACCAGTTTGCTTCATTCGGCTTCACTGAAGAGAGCTTGGGGATCCAAGCTAATTCTCCCAAGATGTGTAATGGAATTCAGTGGTTGACTGCTTTGATGATTTACTGTTATGTCATTTAAACTGGCTCCCAAATGACAGCTGTACCAGAAGCAATGCCGAACCAATCAAGCAAGACCTCTTCCACTAGTGCCTGAACAGAAAACTGCTGAATTCCAATCAACAACAGTGAGAGAATGTCAGCAGCACTTGGGGTGCCTTCAAGTCCACCATCATCAGTGCCTGAACAGACATTTGGATTCTCTACCAGGAAACATCACAACTGGTTTGACAACTGGGAGATCTAAGAGTTGATCAACTGCATGTTCACAGACTTGTGCGCTTGGCAGAGCAACCTCAACTCCAAGCAAAAGAACTGAATCTCCAACAAGCCAAAGGCAGAAGTTCAAAGGACGACCATGATGTAAAGAATAGATGGTGGAAAGACAAAGCAAAGGAAATTCAACATCTCACCAACACCCATAATTTGCAAAGTTTTTTCCAATGCCATCAAAGCAGCCTACAGTCCAAGCTCTCAGGCACCAACCTCCTTGAGACTGAAGGATGGAGGAGATCTGATCACAGACAGAGGAGCCATCAACACACCTTGGAAGGAGTGCTTTGAAGAACTTCTCAACTGAGACTCCATTGTTGATGAGAGTGCTCTCAATTCCATCCTGCAACACCCAGTCAGAGATGCTCTCAGAATCCCTCCTACCATCAATGAGGTGAGGAAAGCCATGAAGCAGATGAAGAACAACAACATATCTGGAGCTGATGGAATCCCCACAGAAATCTTCAAGCAGGAGGAAAGAGCATTCATACTACAGGTCCATGGCCTCAACTTAAGAATTTGGAATGACGACCTCAGGGATGCCTTGATTGTGACAATCTTCAAAAAAGGAGACAACAAGTCAGACTGGAAATTAGAGGGATCACCTTGCTGTCCACCACAGGAAAGATCGCTGCAAGAACCCTCCTGAACCATTTTCCTTCCACTTGCTGAACAGCTGCTCCCAGAATCTCAGTGTGGGTTTAGGGCATCAAGAGGCACAACTGACATGATCTTCACAGCTTGCCAGCTGTAGGAAAAACACTGAGAACAACATAAACCTCCTTACATAGCTCTCTTTGACCTCACAAAAGTCTTCAACACTGTCAACTGAGAAGCACTGTGGAGGATCCTTCTGAACTACAGATGACCACCAAAATTCATCACCAATTTTTCCCTGCCTCATGACAGTATTCGAGCAGTGGTTCTCAGTAATGGATCTATAACAGATCCCTGAGGTTAAGACAAAGGCTGTACCATCACTCCAACACACTCATGAATATTCTTTACCACAATGCTACATCTAATCACCAAACTTCCAGCTGGAGTGGAGCTAAACTATCAAATGGATGGTAAGCTGTTTGAATCTGAGCAAACTCTGAACCACAACCCAGACCACCCTGACTTAAATCATTGGTTCAAGTATGCTGCTGATGCTAAAGTGTGCGCTCACTCGGAAGGAAATGTTCAGGCAATCGCAATCATCAACATCTTTACTGAGGCACACAAGAAAATGGGACCAAAGCTTAACATTCAGAAGACCAAGGTCCTCCATCAACAAGCTGTAAATGAGCAGTAATTCAAGTTCATGGTGAGTCTCTGCTGAACACTAAGTATTTTTCATACCTCAAAAGCCATTCCTTGCAGAAGGCTAACATTAGCAAAGTCCAACATTGTCTCAAATGTGCAAGTGCAGCCTCTGGACACCTGAGGAAACAGTAGTATGAAGATCGCAACATTAGATCCAAAACCAAGCTCATGGTTTACCAAGCAGTTGTGATCTCCACCTTACTGTATGGAGCCAAGACCTGGACAACGTACAGAAGACATCTCAAGTTGCTGGAGAAGTACCATCAAGGCTGTCTGTGGAAGATCCTTCAAATCCAGTGGGAAGATAAGCACACCACTATTAGTGCCCCCTCACAAGCAAAGAACATGAGCACTGAGACAACGATCATCCAACATCAACTTTGGGCAGGCCCTGTCATCCAGATGCTCCATGCTCCTGAAGCA